GTAGTGTCCTTAAGCTGGAGCAGGTCCTTTATCTTTGGTTGCCTAGAGGTCATTGCAACCTTGTCTTGTTCGGGGTTTCCTCTCTTCTGGATCTCCAGTTTGTGCCTTCTTTTAATCTTTCTTTTCAAGTTCTTTTTTGTCCCTGCTTTATAATTTTGCATACTTGATTACTGTTTGAAGTTAGGATAGCAAGCTAATTACTAAAACTACTTGAATAAAACTACACAAAAGGACTAAAATGAGTAACAGTTCCAGAGCTCTTTACAGAGCTGTCACTCTATCACCATCTTGGATCCACCTCACTGGAAAATAAAAATCATATAAAGAAGCAGCTCAGTTATTAACAAAACATTTAATCTTGATCACATACATTAATATTGGTCAACCTTACATTAGGACAATTATTAGATCATATACAAAGAGAGAACACAGACCATCAGTCCAACTTTGCAAGGCCAAGATGATATTGTCTTTACACTGTGACAGAATAATCTTTTTCTTAGTTTCTTTAGTTTCTTTGACTCCTTCTGGACAGGAAAAGATTATCATAGGCAATTAATACAAGAAAGAAATATGGGTACTGTATTATACATAATAATAGTTATATATACATACTATTAAATCATACTGTTTCCAGTGTCAAGGTTACCCATTCTTAATCGGCAAAAGGGCACCTGAAACTTTTAAAAACATATACACAATGCTTTCTTTCCCCTCCTTTCTACATGGTATATGACAAGGTACATCAAATCCGCCTTTGTCAGAATGGAGTACGTTGACAAAAAGAGACATTTTACAGAAGGAGGCCATAGTAATGGGAAAAACCAAAGAAATTGAAAATATGCAAAATATTGGTTTTTAAGAAGGATTTTTTGCTAATGATCAACATACTAAATATATACTCTAAAATGTACCGATATTTCTTTTTTTGTCTTTCTGTATCCATTTTCCTCAGGCAAATGAATAATGTGGGTTTTTATGACATTTTTATTTTTAAAAAAGCTAGAAAAGGAATACATTTTGAACAGGAAATATTGAAAAATATATTTGGGGGGAGGAGATAGATTAGCTCTCCATTTTTATCCAAGTTTATTCCTCTTAATATCAGACATTATAAATTGTAGTGCTTGAAAACAAAGATATACACTTCAGAATATGTATATGTATTTATGTGTGTGTATATGTGCGTATATATACACTGTGTGTGTGTGTGTGTGTGTGTATTTAGCAAGGATGAAGAACTTCTTTACCTGGATCATATCTCAGATCTTAAAGCTGATCACTACATCTGTGAAAAGTAATAGGATTATATCACCCTAAATAAAAATCATGTTCAGTCAAAAAGGGGATTTTTATTACTTTATACATTATGGTCATCCTGTAAGCAATATTGGACAGTTATTTGATAGTTAAAATGCTGAGTACATAGGAATTATGGTCTTTACTTAAGTGTTCTACTTACTACTACTTTTGTTGCTGTTTTGAAATATGCTTGTGCTTTTCCACCATTTTATAGAGTCTAACTTTCTGCTAATAAGAACTGAAAGAAAGAACAGTTATGTCAATCTTGTTTTCTACTGTGCTTCAAGGAGCCACTCACTGGAGATTGATCTTAATTCTCATGCTGAATTGAAAGTCTAAATTACAAAAGAAGAAAAGGACTGATGGTCTTCTATTAGCTATCTTTCATCTTCCATTATACTTGATCATCTTGCCTGGCATCCTGCTGAAAGAGTGTCGTGGATCTTTTTCCTTGGCCCAAAGCCTAAGATACTCCAGTGAAGGCAAAATATTGGTGTAGAATACCAAACAGCATAATTTCCCACAATAATGCCAATGATAATATGCAACAAGGTGTTCTGATGTAAGACTATCAAGTTTCTTGAAATATTTTAATAACTTCAAGTAAAATCAGAGATTAAAAGTGCAGCAGGGACACTGTGAGGCATATGCAAAATGTTCCCCAGAAAGCTCTTCTAGATGGTCTTTAAGTTAGCAAAAGTTTGAATTCCATGTTGAAATGTCTGTCCTATAAAACTCTTTGTCTCATTAGAAATCCTCTAATGAATCTTGTGGCTCTCTAAGGAGCAGATACATTAGAACCTATTAGAAGATTGTTATTATTATCTCCCAAAGTTACCTAAACTTATCAGAGATTTTGACAAAGAACAATTGGTCCAAGGCAGAGGTTTAAGATTTGGGAACAACTGCCAATGTGCTAAAATCACAGATAATACATTTATTTTTATTAACATCCTTATTCCTCATCCCCTCAACATTACAGATATATATGAATGCAGTTGAATTTTAAATTACCATCAGTTTGATGTATTTGTAAGTTTAATTTTTCTCTTAGACATGTTTTGTCTTTAGAACAAAGATCCATAAGAATAGTTCAGAGTGTAGCCCATGCTTCCTGCTTCTGCTCCTAAATATACAGAAAAAGAACAGAGAAGGGATGGAATGCAGTTCTCTTCCAAGTTTCGAAACACAATCATCCTTGTGAAATATTCCAGAGTTGTTCCACGAAGTATACCTTCATACCTCAAACCTTCATTACTCATGACAAAGTAAAATGGCTATTTGTTTCCTCTGATATCTCCCTTGGCAGTTTTCATAAACACTTCCTGTTACTGGGACAGGCGGATGAGGTTTTGAAATGAACAAAGTGCATTGGTCACCTTCTCACCCTGGGAAAGAGAACCACACCAATTCACCCACTCATGTAGATTCCTGATTAGAATCCATCTTCCTATATGAACCTCAATTGCTCCTAACTTGTTTTAACAGCTGGAATAATTGAGCAGGTCAGCTATTTTATGGGAAAATAACTAATGAAACAGTTTGGTCTAACACAGATGTCTTCAGAGATGCTTCAGTTCTTAGTGAAATGCTTAAGAATAAAATCATAGCTTACTAAGGGGCTGAAACTGCAAACTCTGGGCCTATGTACCAGAGAAGAGGTACTTGGCCCCTTGGTGACCCATGTCAGTTACTCAAGGCTTGCTGACTAAACAACTCAAAAGGTGAAAATGCAAGGTTGGTATGGATATGGGTTTGGGACCTCCTGTCCATTTTCCTATAAAAAAGGCCTTTTTATGAGTTTTGCCTTGCCACTCGCTCAGAGGGCAGAACATTGCATTCTGTCTCCTGTGCAGTTCAACAAAGTTGGCTTAAGCAGATTGGGTCATGGGGAGTTTTTTCCCCTTCCACTGGGGGCTCATATGGGACTGAGTAGAATACTGAGGGAGGCCAGGAAACTTATTAAATTTGAGTCAAGCAGATTGTATGCTCACCACTCATCATCAGGGTCATGGGACTTTTTCCCTTCAGTCTTGTCTTGTCTGGCCACATGCTTACATGTTGTTTTCCTCTTCACTCTCCAATTCATACAAATCCATCTAATCTAATTTTTAATGCTGTATGGTTATTGGTCCCTGCTCCTGTACATGATAACTAGCATTTTTAAAATGTAGCCTACTCTAAATCCACAGAGCAAGTCAGTGGCACATTCTGCTCACTTGGAACAACTCAAAATATCTTTGTACTATGGTCAAAAGAGAATTTTGGAAACATGTATGCTTCATTTCATTTAGTGTTTAATTTTTTAAAAAAAGAAAAATCAGTTATCAGTTGCTCCTTTGGGTACAGATGAGATCAAAAAGGAATTATTGATTACAGGTAGTACTAAAACACCAAGACTTCATGGGTATTCAGTTGAATGATATCAAGCCTTTGCTAATATACTTTTCCCCAAACTCTAGCAACTATATAATGAAAATTTTGACAGTTGCATCTTATCTTCTTCCTTGAATAAGCATATCACAATTATAACAAAATGTGGTAAAGATAATTTGTTATGTACTATTTCACTGATCAATGTAGATATTAAAATTTAAACTGTTGCTTTAGCCAAAAGACTTCAGCAAATTATTTCTTTAGCAGTTAAATATGATCAGGTTGATTTTAACAGAAATGGGCATGGATCTGATCATATTTGAGTAGTATTTGATTTGATTGGTTTGAATAAAGACTATAAAGACAAAGCCATAATTCTATTGCTTGGGGTGGAAAAATGTTATTGATTAAATCTACAGATAGCATATCTATGTTACCTTAGTCAGGTAGATAAACTTCTCCAAACCAACTTTCTTAAAAGGTGCTTGTTTGTTTCAGAAAATGAAATCCTGTAATATGTTGGGCTATGGTTATTACTGATTGAATAAAAATCATGGTGATCTAGTATACTTGATCACTGATATTGCTCTGCTTCTATATGAAACAAGGAATCCTACTATCCGTCCCATTACTTGAAAGTAAATATCTGTAACAGTGCCATGAAAGTAAATTAAAACCACACTTTTGGGAAATAGTACACTTTGAACCTACAGAATCATAAAGAATTATCTGAATATTAAAGTTACATTTATAAACAATTAGGGGCAAAGGACCCAGTTCAATATTTCTGCTGTCAGTCACTTGTACAAAGATATGTGTGATCTAGAATAATTGATTAATTACCTTGTTCTGCCTGTATATGAAACAAAGAGCCCCCTAATGTATCACATTACTTGAAAGGAAATACAGTGGTGCTTAAAAGTTTGTGAACCCTCTTTAATCTGCAATACTTCTGCATAAATATGACCTAAATCATGATCTGTTCTAAACACAAGTCATAAAACTAGATAAAGAGAAAGCCAATTAAAAAAGTGAGTCAAAAACATTATCCCTGTTCATTTAATTATTGAGGAAAAGGATCCAAATAATAAACATTATATTAATGTAACAATTGTAAACAATTAGGAAAAAAGGACCCAGTCCAATGTTTCTTATACAAATCACTTGTACAAAATATGTCCTAAATAATTCCCCCTCCCTTCCTTCACATCCAAATACTGTACCTGCAACATTCAAAGAGGCATGTGAGGAGGATCACTCAATGTTTCACAGGGACATTTCTTTTACAGAATATTATGTTTGTCAGACTGAAGATGATTCAATCAGATTAGGCAATTCTTTTTGATTTGTGATGTTAATTTCCACACAGCTGCTTGAATGTCCTTGTTCCGGAAGCTATAAATGATGGGATTCAGAACGGGAGGTAAAACTGTATACGAAACAGCAGAGAGTAAGTCTAGAGTAGGAAAGGAAAGAGATTGTGGCCTCATGTATGAAAACAAAGCTGAAGAGATAAATAAAGAAAAAACTGTCAAGTGTGGACTGCAGGTTGAGAAGGCTTTGTATCTTCCTTCAGCTGATGGAATCTTCAGCACAGCAGCGATGATGTAGCCATAAGAAGCGAAAATGAATCCAATACAAAATGAACCCACAATGAATCCAAATATCCAAATCAGAATTTGGTTAACTTTTGTATCTGTGCAGGAAATCTTTTGTAATTGAGGAATATCACAGAAAAATTGCCCAATTGTGTTTGGCCCACAGAAGTTTAATTGGAAAGTGATTATCGTTTGTAGAGATGCATATAGCAGGGAGCTGACCCAGGAAGTAACTGCCATTTGATTGCAGGTATCCCAGTTTAGGATGAGTCTATATTGCAGGGGATGGCAGATGGCTACATACCGGTCATAAGCCATGATGGTAAGCAAGGAGAGTTCAGAAACTGCAAAAGTAACAATTAACAAAACTTGAGCAACACACCCAGGAAAAGTAAATATTTTGTTATTTGTCAATGAAACTGTCATTGATTTGGGGACAGTGGTTGTGATGTAACAAATATCAGTCAGGGACAGGTTGACCAAAAAGAAATACATGGGGGTATGAAGGTGGTGGTTCAGGATCACAACAAACAGAATGACTAAATTCCCAGTTAAGGCTACTAAGTAAATTGATAGAAACATGACAAAATGTAAAAGTTGTACACCACGGTCATCAGAAAATCCCATCAGAAGAAACTCCATCACAGTGGATTGGTTGGCCATTTCAGCTCTTTCAATCATCCTGTGCACAAATAAATTATGATTGGAGATTAGTAGAGGAAACAAATGCAATTACTCATATCAATTTACTGCCAGAACATAATTAAAAATAATTGTCAAAATTATTTATCACAAAAGTTAAATGGACATGATTAGTCAAACTGGGCTGAAACAGACTTATTCATTTCCTACATGTGGGCACTTTTTTACTATAATTCAAGATTCAGTAATACCAAATTTTGTGGAAATCCTCAGTTTGTCCCTAAGAATTCTAAAGAAAATGGAATACATTCCACAATATCAGGATGTGGATGAAGGGGAACAATGGGCTGAGAGGGACTCGGGGAGCAAATAGCTATGTACAAGATTTAGGATGATCCACAGTTCACATTATGTTAAAATATTTTTAAAAGTATTCTTCGACATCTGTTTGCCTAAACAAAAAAGTGAAAGTATGTATATGTGTGTCTGTGTGCACACACACATGTGTTTGTGTATCTGTATGTTATTAAGTAACTGAAGAAAAAATGACAGAATCCATAATTGGCAACTCACATTAATCAGAACATCCCATCAGAAATAATGCTATTGTGGTGAATTGGTTGCTTATTATGTATCTTTGCATCACTGTAGACAAAAATAATGATTATAGATTATGAAACATAGTTACTGAAGGAAATATAGAGAGAGGTATTATAGCTATATATTATTATTAATATCTGTTTAGTATTTATCTGTAATTAAAAATGAGTATAAATTCAACTGCCAACCATAAGTTACTTACCCCAAAAGTAAAGGGTCACAATATTCAGAACAGGGGGTGCAAGTTTAAGTAAGATAGATAGATAGATAGATAGATAGATAGATAGATAGATAGATAGACAGACAGACAGACAGACAGACAGACAGACGATAGATTCTGCAAATTTTCTCTCTACCTAGGATTCCAAGACAAAAGCCTAATCTTACACAATGGGATCAAATTAACAAGAAGGAACTGTTCTTTCAAACAATATTTTCTAGTAATTCAACAAATCAATAAATAATTTCCACCCACCCTCCCTCCTTCTCTCTCACTCTTTTTTCCTGCAAAGGAAATTGTTGTGTATTTCTATGTATTTCAATTTGCTAACAAGTGGGACTTAATTCAATTTAACTGTTACAGAATTGGTAGCAGGTATTTTTGTACACACAGTCAATACTCCTGCCTTTCAGCTATTTCTCTAAAATCTTACCCCAGCTGTCGAGCTCACTCACTTCAGAGTGATGACTGTTGGACAGGTGAGCACAGTTGGTAGACTGAAGATCATAATTACCTATCTCAGCTTTGTATCAAATTATTAATAAGATTTTCAGATTTCTAATATACTTATTCAAGCAATAAGAAAAGCCAGCTGATTACATATTGTATCACTACAAAGAAACAATTAAATATGCACCATGCCTTTCATTAGTATTATTTGATTTGGAGTCAAAGTATGACTAATCGATTTCTGATTAGAATTCTGTACGTACTTACCTGAGCCGAGAAATGCTCTATTTCAAGAGTAAGAAGATATCAACGTAATTCATCTTAATGCTCTGGATGAATTACAGGTACCCACAATTTGCAATGTTTTAATAACTGGAATGAATGAAAAAGAACTCTATTACCCTCTGAATTCTTTGACTGAGAAGAAGACTCTGCCAATCTCCTTAAATATAGATTCTCTATTATAGAAGAATTTCTACTCCATTTCAAGGAATCTCTCCTTTGAGATCACCACAATTCCCATGTTAATAAAGAAATATTAACTTCCCCTTTCATTCTTCTGTATTGGAAGATCTGCCATTAATATTTATCAAATGGCTTTAATGTCTCATTTAGCCCCCACCATACATACATACATATATACATACATACATACATACATACATACATATATATATATATATATATATATATATATA